TATATATATAGGAGCTTTTGAAGTGTTGGGACTCGGCAGTGACTAGTGAGTGACAATTTTCTCTGTACGTGCATCAAAAACTTGTACCTTTGGGACATTTAAACTACCCTCCGGAAAACATTATTTGCAGCGTTTTGCTTTTTCCTATGTGGGGCCCACCGAAGCTGATTCGGCATCTGTGCGGCACAGAACTACTAAGCGACAAAGCTATCATTTAATAAAAAAGGGTCCTTTGTCACAAAAACAATTAAAAAATGAACAGTGCTTTCAGATTTATGGATAAAAAGACAAATCAAAAGATTTATGAGAAGATATTTTATTTCTTCTTTTATGTTAAATATTTGAAAATATATATATATATATATTTGTCATTTTTCTAAAAAAATTAGCCTATTGCATATTAATTGAATGTATTTGAAACAACTTTATGGTATTGTTTGATTTAATTAAATCCTCTTTTCCAAATAGTCAATGTCAGCTCATTTAAGTGAATGGTCAGTCATTGAAGCAATGTTTTCGTACCGGTCAATGATACAATATATCGGAACTCAAAATATCAGATTTACAGTTATACCAATTTGTTTGTATCTGGATTATACCGTAAAAAGCGCAAAATATCTATCCAAAATACCGGCTAACAAAAAGAAAAATTTAAACTTAAAAAAATAAAATTCAAATTGGTAATTAAAATGTTTTATTTTTATCTCATTGAGAAGTTGAAATTATTAATTATGGTCATTTATTTTTTTTACCTTTTTACATTTGGTATTATATATTTTTATGTATATTTATATATATCATTATATTTGCCAATTCGATAATACCACCGATATTACCGGCATGACCGGTAATACCACGTACTGGTGGCTAGATCGGTATAACCACCAATACGGTATTTAAAACACTGCATTGAAGTACTGAAATGATTAAAAAAAATCAACATATTTCATTAAAAATTAGAGAACACGGTAACATAAGTTGTCACTTGTCAACCGCTCTATAATGTGTGTAAAAAACTAAAAATACAAATAAATGGAAGTATTTTTTTTTTCAAATAATTTATTAACTTTAATGTGCTAGTATAAGTGTTTTGTTTCATTTAAGAATATAAGTCATTGCTTCAAGCAATTAAAGTATTCGATCTTCTTACTAATTGAGAAAGGTA